TTGAGGTAGTGTATTTGGATACAGTTGGCACCCCTAGTAAATATTCACTAAATCTTTGCGGCTATTGTAAATAGTATTTCCTTGAAGTCTGTAAGTACATCTACTAGAACACGTCTGTTTAAACAGGTTAAACTAACAAAAGCTCCAGGAAAAAAAAAAAAAAAACGTTTTGCCCATTAGCACTCGTCTCGATTAGTGGTCTCAGAGCTTGCCAAACGCTTTCCAAAGACATTATCTTAATTGATCAGGAGTCGCTCTATATCTGGGAACTAGTGGTCTTCAACAAATGTTTGTTGAGTAGTCTATCCTTACCTCTGGGAAGAGGAATGCTGTTGGCGAAGCTGGACCATCTCAGCAAAGCTCTGGGAATGCGATGATGCTTCTCCAAAGTTTGTAACAAGCAGTGAGCCAGAACTTTTTTCAACAGGTGAATTGCTTTTCCAGACTGGGTAAGCCAGAACTGCTTCCCTGTCCCTCTCTTCCAATTATCTCCACTCAGCAGAATTCTGGAAGGTGTCATTATTATATAGACATCAGTGGGAGCTTAGTGGGCTCTGATTAACCAGCATGAATTCCCAGAAGGAACCATGTCCCCAAGTAAGTCCCAAATTACAGCTTTGGGCGGTGTTTCCAGCCTAGGAGATTGTGTAAATGTTATAGAATTATGTCTCCTTCATTAGACTGAGAACAACTTGAGGTCAGAAAGTTTTCATGTCTTTGAATCCACTGCAATTCTTGTCCCAGGATAAGGAGCCAACACCTGCTTGGTGCTTAATGAAAGGAATAAGGGAAGGAATGGCATTTAACAAAGTCTCTCATCTTTTAAAAATAAGGACTTTGAGAAATGTGAATTTGAAAATAATGCATGTGGGCAAATCCATAGCATGTGAACAATCACCATTAATTGATGAATTGATGTCAACCCCAAAGGAAGAAATCCAGGTATCAGAGCCAAAGCTCTATGCCTTTCAGCATTTTCATCGGTGACTGGGTGGGAAGCAGAGGCAGGGTTTTGAGAGTGTAGGTGATAGGGTAAGTGTCCCACCCCTTACCCAAGAGCGCCTGGCAAAGGGCACAGCAAAACAGGGTCTCCTGAGAGTCCAGCGCCGGGGCCCGAGACAGAACAATGGACCAAAGTAATGTATAGATATTAACAGAAATGTGGAAAGGTTTGCTATCCATTTATTTGCAAGAGTCCTGGTGAGTTCATCACAAACTCAAGGTGAGCTAAGCACGTGACAAGGATTCTTAAAATTGGGGAAGCGATTTAGAACTGGTGTGTCCCTCCAATCTTACATGTTCCTTACCTCAGAAGTTCTAGTAAAGGGACTTATGGAATGCTAGAAAGAAAAAGACAAGAAAGAAGAAGAAAGGCAAGAAAAGATAAAACTCTCAGGGTGTGCTAAGAAGTCTAATTTTTACTGGCCAAAACTAAACAATCTTAATGGAGTTGACTGAATTAATTCTGGCTCCTGGATCCCATGCCTTACCAGACAGCCTTTTAAAAATATATTGGGAAATACAACTGATAAAATGAGTTAGTCCCTCTCTCTCCTTTTGAAGCCCCACTAAAATGAACACAAAGCATTAGCCCACTACGACAAAGAGAAGGCGAGAAGGAGCAGTAAGGGGTGAGGAGACACTGGGAACTCGGTTGGGTGGACTGTGTCAAATTCCCAGCAAAGCAGAAGGAGCGGAGGGCTGACCTCTGGCTGGAGAGACCCAGCAGCCGGGAGCAGAGCCTGGCGAGGTGGAGACAGTGGGGTCCCAGTTCCTGTGCACACCAGCAGGCAGGAGGAACTGAGGACGGTGGACGTGTATGTGTGAAGCAGTAAGACCCCCGGCCCCTTTGGCCACACGCAGTGGGAGGTGCGTGGACCCCATAGGAGAAAGAATCGAGAGGCTGCCTCCAGGACCTGAGTTACATGGAGAGTACTGTGCACCGGGAGAAAGGAAAAGCACATGCCCAATGGGTCCAGGGCTGTCCCCCAGACTCCAGCTCTGCAAGACCAGCTCCCACCTTCTGGCAGGAGGCTGGAAGATGCCGCTGCATGGAAGAGAATCCTGCAGATAAGTGCATTTGGGGATCCCCCTGTGAGCTAACTGGATTTCTGCCCAGTTACCTGCAGGGAAATCCATTGGTGTGTCAAAGAGACTCTGTCCCCAGAAACACACAATTATAAGCAATTGGCCAAGGAGTGCCAGCAATTGAAGAAAGGCCAGAATGTGACAGACAGAGGCTAAGACAGAGAGAGGGAGACAGGAACATGCAGGAAACAACAATGCATAAAAAGAAAAAAAATAAAAGCGTCTTAAAAAAAATATAAACAATGGCCTCAGAGAGAAAAGGGAAGATATTGTATCCAGGAAAGAAGACATGATACTATTTAAAAAATACGTAACAGGAAGGGGCTCTTGGAAATTAAAAACATAGTCACAGAGTTTTAAAAATTCAAGAGTTGGACAATGAGGTAAAGGAAGTTTCCAAGAAAGAGGAATTTTTTTAATTAGGCAAAGATATTCAAGAAAAATTAGAAAATTGATTTTGAACCCTCAGTATTCAATAATCAGAACCCAGGGAGAGACAGTGAAAACAGAGGGAAGAAGAAATCTGAAAGGAATGATGCTAGAACGTTCTGCAGCATTAAAGGATTTCTAGATGACAGGGTTCCACAAATGCCCCAGACTGTGGGTGGAGAGCACTCCAGCCCGGGGCATGCTGTCAGACATTTCAGGGCTCTAGGGACGAGAGAGGGTCCTCAAAGCTTGCAGAGGGGAAGCGCACCACACGAAGAAGACAGAGCCAGCATCTATGACCGGCTGGTGAGGAGAACAGCATAGAATCAGTCGTAGATTTTCAAGGTCTCCTAAAGTCACCTCACGTACATCTTGCCTCGGAAAGCTGACAGAGCCTGAGCCCCACTATAACGAGGAAGTCAATTTTTTAAAAAGGCCTGCGATCCAGGAAACAAGGGAGAAAAACAGCTGAGTCGAGGAAAAGCCATTTCCAGGAAACCCAGAAGAAAAAGTTAGAAAACAAATCACTTACCAAGTTCAGAGAAATCAAAAATGACCCAGAAAGAAAATGTCGTCAACAAAGACATGAAACGTCTCAGCTAGAGAAACTTCCTCTTGCAGAAGATTTCTGTTTGATGGAATTAAATCTATTATAACTATATATGTAGAACGAGATAGTGTTAATTTAACCCTGTGCCATAATTTCTGGAAAGATTGAGGAGGAACTGTGGGCGCGCGTGCGTGTGTGTGTGTGTGTGTGTGTGTCTCAGGGAGCTAAATCTTCCTCTTCTGGAGTAGAAAGCCAGTATCTAATACGGGAAAATCAAGAAATAGCAGAATAAGCGTATTATTTTTAAAAACAGAGTAACCGTCAGAAGAGAGGGTTTGAAGTGGTTCCTCTGGAGTGTGGGCAGTGTGGACCATGAGGTGCTGCCTAGGCTCTGAGCTTTGTGGACTGACTTGATTTTCCTTCTGCCCATGTTTTCCATGAAGTATATTACAGATAAAGGAGGTGGACTCTGTATATTGTAGTAGAAGGGTGGAAAGTATATGACTTTGAAAAGAAAAAGTAAAAACCAGGGACAGACACCTGGGTGGCTCCGTCGGTTAAGCCTCTGCCTTCGGCTCCGGTCGTGGTCCCAGGGTCCTGGGATCGAGCCCCACATTGGACTCCCTGCTCAGTGTGAAGCCTACTTACTTCTCCCTCTGCCTGCCATTCCTCCTGCTTGTGCTTGTTCTCTCTCTCAAATAAATAAATAAAATCTAAAAAAAAAAATGTAAAGACCAAAAAAATGTATGCCAACCGTTAGTAGTTAGAATCCGAGTGTTAACAAAGTGACTTTTTTTCTTTCTTTTGCTTATGTAGTTTTTAAATATAAATTTATTTTGCAATAAATATATATTACTGAGAAAAATTTAAAAGGAGACTCTTTACACACACGCGTACAAACACAGGAAACGCCAGGCCCAGCCCAGAAGAGGACGTTGCCTTCTGTGGAAGTGGGGCATGCGCCCAGTTTGGCACACACACTGGGAGCCTGCGCTCCTAAACCAGGGAGCACCAGGGGTAGAACAGATCCACAGCAGGGTGGGGTTGGTAGGCAGCCCTCCCACAACAAGCCCTTGAGCCATCAGGGACTGTTTGGACCCCAGGCAGGGACTCAGCTGTGGGCTCCCTGAGCGCAGGGACCCAGCAAAGTAAATGGTTTTCCTTAGTTGCACACACTCTGCACGTTCAAATGCACTGCATTGAAATCCATCGATGAGAATGAACGGATGAAAACTTTGTATCAGGGAAGAGAGGAGAATATGCAGTCTTTATGCAGCCTTTCGAAGCTGTGAATTTGTCGTTGGTACAATTCTTCGGTGGGAGCGGGCTTTCTGCATGGACAGAGCTTGACATCCCATAGGCTGACACCGTGAGCCACAGGCTGACAAACTTCACTGTAATTCCGGTGCATGGGTGGCCCATCTGTGGACAATGACTAGTCCTGGCTGCTCAGGAACACGCAGGGGCAGGGGAACAAGCAGAATTCCGGGCACAGTGAGCCCTGAGCCGGGCCCTTCTGGCCTCCCCGTGTATGGGTGCACGTCATGGCAGCCCTTGCTCAAGTTTCCAGAAGGACTAGTTCTCTTCTGCATTTAACAAAGGGCAAAGTGTCCCCTTTCTCATATTTATTCTGAGGGGAAGTTACTAAGTCCCCTGACTGGCCTGAAATCCCTTGGCAATTTGGGGCAGAGCCCCAGCTCCGCCAGCTCAGAGGGGTCTTGGGACGTCTGTGAGCATCCTTGGGCCACCTCGGGGCCGCTCCTGGGCCACACAACAAGCCCTCACACCAGGGCCTCCGCCACCTGCCCTGGGACCCCAGAAAGGAACCTGGCAATCTGCCAACGCTCCTTAGAGCACCGCATCCCACGGGCCAGCTTCTTCTGAGTTGTGCACCCCACTCTCTGACACGGTCACCTTTCTTTTTGCCTCCCAGGTATCTCTGGGGTCCCAGATTGACCTGCAGAAAAAGAAGAGGCGGGCGCCAGCCCCCCCGACGCCACAGCCCCCGACGCCAAGCCCCCTGGTGCCCCCTCGCATGCAGGACAGGGAGCAGAACAGGAAGAGCACCGTGGGTGAGTGCACCGTGCTGCCATCAGCATGCCCCCCGAGCCTTGTCTGGCGCGGAATTCCGGCACTGCTATTAACTCCTGCAGTCGCGTCCTCCACTATGGCATTAACTCGGAAAATATTTATGCTAAGGAAAGAAAGTCTGGAAATAAACACTTGTGGGTTCACTTAGTATCTTACAGGCATATCTTCCGGGCATCATGGAGGCTCGGAGGTGGGGGGCAGGCGGCAAGGGTGGAGGATGGCTGAGGGTGCTCGAGCGGAGCTGGAGCGGCACCGGACGGATGAGTGCGTGTATGTGTGTGTCTCCCTGATGGAAGGACGTATGCCCTTGGGATGACATCTGTGGAGCCTGTTTTGAAAGACCTCTCTAGTCCCCAGGAGGTTTATAGATCAGTTGACAATAGTTCCCTAATTTCTTGACCACCTTGTTTGAAATCGACCTCCACTTTTATACATGTAGCAAATGCACACCCTGTTATTTTTGGGGACAAGGAACCAAAAGGAAAGAAGATGGAACTGTAATATCTGTGAGCGGAGAGACCTGTTAGATCATTAAATGCTACCTCTTCGTGTTACAATTGGCAGAGAGAGACGTGGCAGGGGTCTCTAGATCCAAAAGTCGGGGATGGTTCATTTAATTTTAAGCCAGTCCGTGTTTGTAATTTCCTTTATGTAGGAACGGAAGTTGCTCTTCAGGAGCGGGGGTTGCCTGAGACAAGGCGCTGCGATTACAGGTGCATCGGCTCATCACAGAGACCATCCGATGGCCATGCCTGATGCTACTCTACTCCATAGGGCACCCTCACATTCTCCCCTAGACCTCATGACTGTGGCCCCCAAAAGGAAGACTCCCAAGGATAAGCGCGTACACTGTCAGTGTCCGAAACTCTAATACGATCTGCTTGGCTGTGTGTCAGCCATTCTTCCCCCAGTCAACACCTCCCTGTTCATGTCTCAGCATTTCGCCACCAGGGGAGCGATGATCCTAAGGAACCATCGTCTATGTCTCATGCCAGTTCATCCTTTTGACCAGAAGAAAATACTACCAGATTTACAGAACCCATGATCAGCAGCTCCTCAAAATACACCTCGCTGTCTCCTTTTCCATGACGAGATCCCCATTCTCCCTACCGAGCTCTCGCCCACTCTTGTGGCAAAGGGATGACAGCCCTCAGATTTATGGTTCCTGCTTGCACTCATGAGAAGCATCCACTGTAGGTGGTAGTGTGGATGCGACTGAGTCATGCCAACCTCCAGGCCAGACAGCCCATTTCAGACCAAAGGAGGGCCTCCCGATCAGCTGTGAAAGACTGACTGCCGCCTCGTGTCCCCACGCTTGGAGAACCTGGCCGGGGTGCGGGCAGGCAGCCAGTGCCCATGGGTGTTCAGGAGAGGGAGGTGGGTGTTTGGAAACTGAAAACTGTACGGACCAGTCCCGCTCTAAGGAGCACATTACAGGGAGGAGGTATGGACGGTAGTAATTCACTACTAGCCTCTCTCTGGTTTGTGAAGATTGAGAAGGAAGCCAGAAGCTCCCTTCGGGCTGGCAGTGACCTTGAATACTTTGAGAGGTCAGGAGGATGGTAGAGGTCTTGGTAACAATTTTAAGGGAGACTTCCATCCCCATCAGCGATCCCCATGAAGTAACGGTACGCTAGCAATTCCGCAAGCTGAACTTTGTTAACCGAAGTCTAGGCTTTACATTAACAGATACAAATGTAAAAAGTTGCCCCTGCCCACACACCCCACACAAACGAGCATCTTTTTATTCAGATACCTAGATATAAAAGGGGGAAAAAAATTGAAACTTGCACTAAAATAGTATTGGCTGGATTTGGGTCTGACCCAAGTTCCTTGGCAAACAAAAACTGAGCCTTCTGGTAGAGAGATGCTTCCAGGACAAAGCCTGTTCTCCCCACATGCCTTGCCCTTGGGGGCAACTTCCGTGGACCAACCAGATAGTTCTCATCCTGACGGCTTGTGGTTTCTTTGCACTTTGAGGTGACAAATGACGTCTAGCCATGGGGACATCACTTTTCTCCCACATCTAGAGAACTGTAATCAAGAGAAGGAATAAGTGGATATGTCTCTTGATGAAGAAATTATATTTCTTAATATTTATTTATTAATAATCTGATGGCAGGCATGAAGCACAGAGTCTATTAGTTACTACATGACTCTAAACCTAAAAGCTTGAAAAAAGCGTTTTTCAAAGAAAAACATTTGGGAGTAGTTGTGCCTACCAGAAACAAATTGCAAACAAGTAGGTATTTTCAAATTGGCTCAAGGAGAGGACACTGTGTACGTAAAATGTTAAAGCATGAGTGAGGTGGGATTTGGTGCCATGAGGTTGGACTTGATGCCTAGTGAGTTTGAATTTGGATACCGGGCATGGCTGGATTTGTTGGCAGGCATGGTTGAATTTGGTGCACGGTGAGGTTGACTTTGATACCAGGTATGGTTGGATTTGGTGCCATGAGGCTGGATTTGGTGCCTAGTGAGCCTCAATTTGGTACCAAGTGTGGTTGGATTTGATACCGGGTGTGGCTGGATTTCGTGGCAGGTGTGGTTGAATTTGATGCATAGTGAGGTTGACTTCGGTACTGAGTGCTGTTGGATTTGGTACCGCTTGTGGTCAGATCTGGCGCCGGGTGTGGCTGGATTTGGTGCCATGAGGCTGGATTTGGTGCTGGGTGTGGTTGGATTCGGTGCCATGAGGTTATTTTTGATGGCCGGGTGAGTGATGGCTGCTTGCCTTCCGTGGGAGGGCAGAGTCTTTGGGCTTAACCTTCTGAAGTCACCCCTGTTGATTCCATGTAGGTGTTGGACGGCAGGTGCCACAAAAGCCTCCCAGAGGCTCTGCTCGGGGGCCCCCCCAGTTAGTGCTCCCCCCGCCCCCACCCTACCCTCCTCCCGACACAGACGTGGCGGAGCCTCTCGGCTTTCCTGGGGAGAGTACTGGTTCCGAGGCCTCGGACCTGAGACCCACACGTACGTGCCTCTTGTTTTCTTTCCCATGTATGTCAACTGCCCATCTCTGCTCACCGGTGTCAGGGCTGGGTTTCCAGACTTTCCATTCTTGCCTTGGATGTTTGTGACGTTCCTCTCCAGCTTTTCTTTCTAAATGCTCGATGCAGTGTGTCCGATTTAACAGTGAATGCGCTCGGAATGCCATGCAGGTGCCCATAAAGAATGACTTAACTCATTAATCATTCACACTGCGGTCACACCTCGGCCAAAATCGCACTGTGTGGGTGAAGACAGTCAGCTAGGAGCTACTGTTCCTCGAATTAGAACTAACCTCAGAAGTCTGCAGGTAGCAAGAGCCCACGCAGTCCAGCTCAGCAATTACGGGATTTTGTTGGTGAGCTCACTCCGGCAAGCTGAGAGTGCAGAGGAGAGCCGTGTTCAAGACCTGGGGGGACTCATGAATGAGGACCTTTGAATCGTATGGTCAGCAACCAAGCGATAGGAGTGCTACCCTGCAGAAAGGGAAACCGAGGCAGCAGAAGGGGAAAGAGCTTGAGTTCCATCTAGCAATAGCCAGAATTAAAGTCTCATTGTTTTCTACTTCTTACCGCACCCTGGCTGAGACCGGGCTGTCTTCATTGTCTCCTGAGGTTTCTTTGGGACTTCCATAAATACTGTGTCTAGCACTCCTCCCTCCTGATGGGTAATCGTTTTACATATTTAACCATATGTATTCTGATGGCGTCATCCGCATGGCAAGCCCGTGCTCACCCCTTTGAGGATGACTCAGCTTGGCAGCAGTGCTTCATCATAAAGGGGCACAATCCTGGACCATATTCTCAGAACAGTGTCTGCCATTCTGCACTCTGCCCAGTGAGCAGCCGGGGCCCATGAGTGGGTGCGGCCTCTGGCTGGGAAGTTCATACTTTTCTGACATTGGACCCCTTGATCTCTTTCTGTCTTCTTTGGAAATGATGATTAGCTCACTGCCAGCTTCTGGGTAAAGAAGATAATTGTCGGATTACTTATCTACTGCTGTAGGAAAACTAATCCTGATTCATTCCATCTTTTCTGACAAATACTTATTTTCTGTCCTTCAAATATGTTTGATCATCTTGACGTTGGACATGCTTCTGGGAAGCAAATAATGTCTACAGGGTATTGAAAAGTAAAGGATCAAACATCTCAGTCAGAAAGATAACAGCCGAGGTGTAGACAGTTCTGGAGCTGTTCCATCTCTGAAGAGAGTGGGTCTCAAGCCCGTGAGCTCCGGGGGCCAACTCTGTGGATGCTGTCCTCATGCCCAGAATCCTCCTGTGGACCCTGGGCGATCCAGTGAAGGGAGGAATAGCCGAGGGAAAAGAGGCAAGCTAAATGGCCATTAGGGGACGGTTGCAAGACCAGTAGATTGTGGGAAATACATGGATGGGACAGCCAGGCCTCGCACACTTGCCCACACCTGAACTGATGCAAACCTGCAGATCCCCACTTCCTCCCAGGCCTCCTTGCACTTGGAGGACACCATCAGTGTGTGGCGTCTGCCGGGGAGACTGGCAGGCGAGATTTGGGAGGGCTGCTTCCAAAGGCCGGCCTCAGGCTTGGGTAGGAGAGCTTCCTCCTGGGTTTCTACGGTGCTGTGAAATCAATTCCCCCCACCCCACCCCCGCTTAGAGAGAATGGAACCAGGCAACAAAGGATGAGGTTCCCCATCTTCTTGCTTCATGGTGTCGCCCCGCCCTCCCACCCCGCTCCTGGGCCCATGGCATTCTCCCCATGCGTTCATTTCCCCAGACATGTCATGAGACTCTCCTTGGCCCTCTGGTCATAATCCCCCCCACCCTCTTCCCCTCTCGGAAATGCCAGTAACCGAGTGAAGAAGCACGGGAGGAATGGGGGGAGAGGGGCTCTGTGAGGTAGGGACTGGGGCTCCACACAGTCTCCTCCTCCTGCTGCTCCCTGCTCCCGTCGCCTGGCTGCCCCTGCACCAGAACTGAAGGCATCCAACTTGGAGCTTCTATTTTACCCAACGCGC